TCATATATCCATCATGTGAACTATTTAGATCTTTTATAGTTTTAATCAATACATAGACTAGATGATCACACGTGTACTTATTATCAACTTGTAATTTGACATTTGCAATCATTTGTTTATAAGCAAATTTTCCTAATTATGTAATTAAGACTTTTCATCTTTACAATGTTAGTGAATTTACATCTCGAGCTTTTAATAAATACCATATATTAGTTGAATAGCCTATTGCTCATGTTCATATGCAAAGCAGTCTAGCAAAATTTTTTATTAAATACTTTTCAATTGATTATAAAGATATTATTTATGAAATCTAAACTCTCAATTTCTATTTGGGGCATATCATTTTGGATGCAGTAGCACTTGTATGCATCAGGCTAACGAGTTATTATAAATTCTCCTTTATACAATTGGTTTATGATAAAAAAACTAAATATTTCCTACTTCATAATTTTTGATTGTGCGGTATATGTTCCAATTGCTCAACCACAACGTACAAAGATGAGTCATCAAAGAAGATTAGCAATATAGGTTGGATATGAATCTCCATCTATCATTAAATACTTAAAACCTTTGACAGGAGATTTATTCAGGGCAATATTAGCTGATTATCATTTTGATGAAATAATTTTTTTAACCTTAAAAAGAGAAAATAAGTAGTCGAAAAAAAAATATCTTGGAATGTATTATTATTATTTAGTTGCGATTCTCACACAAATTAATGTGAATTTGAAGTTCAAAAATATAATTCATTTGTAAAATATAATAAATTAGTTGTCAAATGTATTTACTGGCCTAAAAAGAATAACAAAATCTCATATATCAACTACAATACCTTCTATCAGAATTGATGTCTTTGTAAGACAAGGCATACCAAAAGTGTGGAAGACCAATTGATTTCAAAGATAAAATTTTTAAAAAAGAAAACAAACAAATATTCAAAATTATCAAAAATAGGACCTAGAAACTCTAGATGAGACCCTTAACATAATTAATAAACTTCTAGAAATTTAAGTACCTGAAATAAGTAAAAATAAAGGGATCTCAATAAATTATTTCATGATAGGAAAAAATGAAACTATAATAAAATAAAAGTCGACAATATTTTTGTATATAATGTTGCATTAAATATTATGAAAGAAAATGAAGATCTTGATATATTGAAGAATGTAAAAATAGAAATAATTAGCCAATATAGAAAGATGCAATCAAGGTGGAATTGAATTCACCTGCAAAACGTGAAGCTTTTGAACGTATAATCCATATATCAAATGGTGTGAAACCAGTGGAGTGTAAATTGTAAAAACGAAATGAGAAAAATGAGATTATGAGATATTAAGCATAGCTTATTACGTTAGGTTTTACCCAAAAAGTTGGTATTGATTATGAAGAAATATATTATCTTATGGTGAATGCAATTATAATTCTATATTAACTGCTCTTACAATATATGAGAAGATTGAAATGCGTTTAATGAATGTAGCCACAATCTCTTTAGATAGTTCATTTGATATCGATATCTACATAAAAGTTCTTTGAGGATTCAAATTACTTGAAGCATGTACACAATTGTCAAAAAATTATTCAATTAAATTAAATAAATATATATAAATTAAAAAAATCTGGACACATGTGGTATAATCGTCTTAGTAAATATTCATTAAAAGAGTGTTATAAAATGATCCTATATACCTATGTGTCTTTATAAAGAGATTTGGATATGAATATATTATAATTGTTGATAACTTGAATATTATTGAAACTTTCGAAAAGTTATCAATAACCGTGAATTATATGAAGAAACAATTTAAGAAGAAAGACTTTGAAAATAATAAACTTTTGTTTAAGTCTCGAGATTAAGCACTGGACAAATAAAATTTTTGTCTATTAATCAAATTATATAGTAGAAGTACTAAAATAATTTTATATGGATAATGCACATCCATTGAGTTCACCAATAGTTGTAAAGTCACTGAATGTGACAAAGACCTTTTCTAACCTCATGAGGATGATGAAAAATTTCTTAGTTCTGAAGTAACATATCTTAGTGTCATTGTAGCACTAATGTATCTTGTTAACAATACACAACATAATATATCATTTGCTGTAAATATTTGCAAGATATAGTTCTTCTCCAACTCAAAGACATTAAAATGAAATTAAATACATATACTTCAATATTTTCAAAGAACAATGGACATTGGTTTATTTTACTCAAATGTATCAAAATTAAATTTAATTGGTTATACAGATGCAAAATATTTATCTAAGCCACACAAAACTTGATCCCAAATAAGTTACTTATTTACAAGTGGAGGTACTACTATTTCATAAGTTCTGTAAAACAAACTATATTTGCTATTTCCTCTAACCTTACAAAAATTTTGATAATTCATGAGGCAAGTTGTGATTGTGTCTGGTAAAATATGTAATTAAAAATATTCGAGAAACGTGTAGCTTGTCAATCAAGAAAAAAATGCTAATAACGTTATGTGAAGATAATATTGTTTATATAGCCCAGTTAAAGGAATGATACATTAAAAGCGATAAGACAAAATATGTTTCGTCAAAGTTCTTCTTTACTCATGATCTCCAAGAAAATATGATATTAATGTTCAACAAATTTGTTCAAGTGACAATCTAGTATATTTATTTACCAAAGTTCTTCTTACTGTAACATTTGAAAAGTTAGTATAAAAAATTAAAATGCATCATTTTAAAGATTTAAAAAATATAGTCATTAGGAGGAATAAAATACACACTATACTTTTTTCCTTCATTAAGATTTTTCTTGATAAGACTTTAAATGAAATAGTATTTCAAAAACGTATTCTTAAAAAGAATGATGTATTCCTTTTCTTTCACTCAGATTTTTTTCTTTTGAGGTTTTTTTCCTAATAAAGTTTTAACAAGCATATTCTTAATACAATAGATATTCAAAGGGAGTATTATGAATATTTTTATGAATATCTATTTATGTTATATATATTTAGATCTGAATGTAGATTAAATTAAATTAAAATTAAAATTAAAATTTAATCTATCTATTTAATCTTTTAATATTATCTTTATCTTGTAAATTCTATCTAAATAAGAAATTATTAATCTATAAATAGATCATCTCACTTTACTTCTCAATATATATTTAAAAAAATTTTTTCTTTTTAAATTTTTTTTATAATTACTACTTCACTTCTTTAAAATATTTTTTTTATAATTATTCTTTCAAATCATAAAAAGTCTGATTTTAACAAAGTTTTGGTTATTATATCCCAACTAGACAAAAGAAACACTTATAAAGTTGATGATGATGGGAGTAAAAAAAGAAACAATAATTGCTGGTAATAATTGTGAAAAATGCATGATTTGGGTCGGAATGCAGACAAAGCCCGATTTCTTAAGATTCTTTTGTCCTCAAGTGGAAGAAAGATTTTGGTTTTGGACTTTGGGGTTTCTGGAGTACTGTGCATTGATTTGATGCAACCATTAATCAAAGCAGAAAAAACCAGAGATCAATGACAGGATGGGACATGATTTATCCCGCTGTACTCGTGCATATAAAAAACCTGAGTAACGCATTTTGCCAGACGGACGATCCCCTATTCTGAAATAGTACAGAGGTGAGGATAAGACAAACATTCAGTGTGACCATTTGCATGATATTCTATCTGTCGTATGTTTTTCCCAATAATTGCAGACATGGATAACTAAGAAATATAATTTACATAAAAAGGTGTTCCATGCGATAATGGGTTACTATTACATTGACGACAAATTGCAAAGCCAGAAAAAGGTCATGAATTGCATGGGAATTGGAGTGAAAAGAAAACAGATCCATTTTTGAAATTTGGCATTTCTCGTTGCAATTATGAATGCTAAGAACTTTCAGCCAAAACATGCAAAGGAGTTATTTGCTCACGTTTTTGTTGGACCCCCTTCTTTTTGCTTTACATATTAAGCCTAAACAGTTTCTTAAAAAACAAAAATAAGCCACAGCTTTGCCAACAAATTTAGCTTGAAGAAAATAGTTGGTACGGCACTTAGAAAATTTAATTCAATAGTATATATATAAGTTCAATTTCGAATCTTCTTTCTTTTAGACTTAATAAAAAGTAGTCGGTACCACATAATTAAATCTTAAACTGTAATTAGAATTATGTAATTTTATAATTATAGACGAATAGATAGTCAAATTTTTTAATAGCGGTAAGAAAAAACACAAGTACACTCCTTACGTTATTTTCTTCAGCTTCTCCAATAAAATAAAGATAAAATTATATTTAAAATTTTTGAGTTGACAAAATAATTGGTCCATGCCATGTGAGCAATTTTTAAAACATGTGCCCAAAAAAATGCTACACAAAATTACACGTCTCTCGTTTGAAGAAAAATCAGCCAGTCAAATTTCCTATTCCTAATCATAGTCTATATATCAATAATTATTTTGAAAATTTTGTCGGTGAAAAGTATACTAAATGCATATTATGGTAATTTCTCTATTTATATCCATATATGTATGGGTAAGCTTGCCTATTGTGTTATAAGTCATTCCAGCACTTCACTGTTCATTGCTAAAACTAGGTTTCTGACTCAACAATGTAACAAAAAAGCAATTAACTTCAAGTCTGTTTTTTTTGCTTTAGCTAAAACATAAAAACAATATATTCTTAGACAAGAAATGTGTGAGCTCAATGAAGGGAGATTAGAGGTATTGTAATTTATGTAATACATGATTTTTAAAGTACTCTTTTTTTCCTTAATATGTTTTTATCCCAGTGGATTTTTCCATGATAAGGTTTTTAATGAGATTTTAAAGTCATATAATAGGAACCGTTGTAATGGGATGATCTGTTGAGGGGTCTTATGAGTATGTAATGTTTTGTTTTTTTTCTGTAAAGCAAGTATGTAATGTTCTCTATATATAACTTTGGTTTTGAAAAATAATGAAATTCACCTTCTTCTTCCAAAAAAAAAAAAACTCTATTGAGAAGAAAGATAATATGTATACAAAAAAAAAAATCACAATATACATTTCAATTTTACATAGAATAATGCAAAGTTTAAGGAGGATAATTTTATTTAATTACAACTAGCAATGCCAACTAGCAACGTGCCAAGCTAAAAGCACAAAATCCGAACACTGACTTGTCCCACTAATGTTAAAAAGCTACAAACTTAAATTCCAATCAAAGAAAGTGCTTCCTCGAAATTCTTAGACTTAAGGATCATATATTCTTTCACTGTCACAGACCGGTATCTAGGTGTATGGCCTGAATTTAAGAGCTTTGCCAACGGGGATACATTACAATCTGTGGGTATTCCATAGAAATAAGCCACGGATAACCTGTGACACCCATCTCGGTTTACGACGGCCCGGTGAAGGACACTAGGGAATCGAGCGTTGGACAGAATATGCAGAAGATCGCCAACATTTACGACCAGGGCACCGGGAATGGGTCGCACTGAGAGCCAACCGACTCCTTCTTTGAAGATTTGGAGACCGCTTATGGAACTTTGGTGTAGAATGGTTAAGAGGGATGTGTCTGTGTGTGGGGCTAGACCCATGGTTCGATTCGGGTCTGGACACGAAGGGTAAGAGTTCAGCTGAAGAGCGGTAGAGGGTGAACCCACGTCCCAGCTTAGGTCTTCTTGGGAAACGTCCAATGACTTGAGGATGAGATGTGTGAGTTGCTCTGCTAAATCTTTCATCTTCTTCTGATACCTCTCTATTACGTCGCTGTTTATATGTTGACAAGCAATAAATGCATGAACAAACTGGTGTAAATTGTTATATAGCTTACGGTACAAATTAAAGAGAATTGGAACTCTTCATTTTAACCTTGTTCGTCAAAACAGAACTGATATCTGCGAGAAATTCCGTCAAGCCTATTTGATGTGCTAAACCTAATTTTTAAATGACCTTAGAACTCTACCAGGGTTTTCTTTAAATACAAAACCTAATTTCGAAATGAGGTTTTGATTTAGGATGTGGTCCATCTAGTACATAAAATACAATACTTTTGGCTGGATTTCTAGGATTAATTTGCAATTAATGTTGCTAACAGTTTATGAGAGCTAGACGCCTCGATTAGTACCCATTGCAATTCGGAACTAGGGCAAGCTTATATCTTTATAGTATATAACACAATTTACACAGGTGTTGTCTTAAGAAACATTTTTTTTATCAATTTAATTAATGCATCGTTCTTATCAAATTCGTAATTTACAAAGAACAATGTCTTTTGACCAAAATAAAACAATACCTTGAATACAAAATAGTTTATAATTTAATCTATCTATCAATATTTATAATATATTTCAAATATATACATATATGTGGTAGAAAAAAATAAGTGTATACATATAATTAACTTTTCCTTACTTTATACAGTGGCAATAATATAGGTGCACTTCGGTACTTAAACGCTATTAACTCGATCCTTGTTGCTAGAGGCTTCTCTACTTATAGAAGAGACCAGGTACATGACATCACGAGCCAAAACTTGTAATTGAATATGAAATTGATAATGACTGATATAAAATTTAAAGGATGTATATATAAACATTTGTACTAAATTATGCGTGTGTATCATGTCTGTCAAGCTTAACTTGCCCTTATTTTGTCTTTCAATTTCTAATATTAACAAATAATCATAAGTTAAAGACAAATGATGTTTGGCACATGGACAGGTATTGTTAGAAGGGATTTACATGATTTTGAAGGAATGAATAAGCTTATGATATCAGACATGGCTAATTAAGTATTACCTGTAGCTTTACTTAAAGTCCCTTGAAATAGCTAGATCACAGGGGCCTAAATTAAAGGTCCCCACTTAGTGAGAACATTTTTCTTAAACAAAGATAAATCGCTTTAAATGAAGAAACCAACCCATATCGAGACTTGTTAAAAAGGATAGTTGCTTCCTCCAAAAATGAAAGAAACAAATTAAGGTTCAATGTATCAGGAAAAGGCTAGCCGTATCTTTATTTTTTTTCGTCAAATTTTGTGTACGTGCATGCATGAAGAGTGCATGGACTTACCAAAAACGTGCATTGTCATTAGGCCAAAGTGCCCTAGCATGGTCAACCGGTGAACCCATGATTGTAAACCCTTCATGCCACATATACTTTGGGAAAAACGGGGATATCCGAGCTAGACCATATCCAGTGGCACCTGCCGGCTCACGTAACGCCTTCATCTTCTGCTGAGCCGGGAGAGAGAACAGCCGCCGAGCCTCAGACTCCACCTCTTCAACAAGATTCGAAGGAATGCCATGGTTAATAACTTGGAACGCACCCCATGTTTCACATGCATGGCCTGCAAGTTTTACAGCGAGGGGATCTTTGAGGTCAATGATTGGGATTGATAACTGGTCATCGGATGAGAAGTCATCGGATTTAGGCCACACGTGCGAGTCGGGCACGGTCCGGACGGAGTGGAAGTCCAGGGGAACGATATGCCGGAGGGGGATAGCATGTTCTCTGTAGACTTCAGAGAGAGTGGTCATGATAAGTTCAAAGAGAGAAAAAAATAGACCAATAAATTAACAAACAAGGCTAGGGTTTGTTTGTGGTGTTGATTAACAGAGTATATGTATATATAATATAAGATGTATTAATTAATATTAATAAGAGAAAAATACAGGGAATTAGGTTTAGGTGATATGAGACTGCAGGTGGGTGAGGGTGGCTGTTTGGACAGAATGTTGTCTGGAAGTGAAATTGGAAGGACTCGGCGGGGGATTGGTTGAATAAGACAAAAGAAGGAACAAAAGATGCAGAAAGTTGGGGCATCTCAAAGACTGAAAACAGTTTTCATGTTCCATGATAAGGAGGGACTCTCTTTCCTCCTTTCGCTTTTGTGGACAATAGACATGCCTTGTCCACAAGTGTGACATTTTGGCAATTTGGAAAAGGACAGCCTAATTTAAGTTTAATAAAACTCACAAGTACTCCAAATAACTACAGTTGCAGGAAAAAGTAATCTAGCCAGAGTAGTTTGTATTTCCTTTTGTTTCTTTTGTCAAGGAGAAGAGATCAAGCCACCCAATTTGATAATTGATCCCTACCTATCCAGCTGGTTAATCAGGAGTTCATTATCAGATCACAACTCTATCCTATTAGGGACGTAAGGTGATGACAACTTTGAAAACTCTATCAACAATCTAAATTTGACTTAATGCTTGTTATAATCTCTCCTTATATAAAGAGTTTTAGTTTCAAAAGTTGAATTCTCTTCCTTTTTGTACTTGAACATTTGGTTCATTAATTAATAGATAATCTCTCTGTTTTAAGAGTATGAATTCGAATCCTCTTCCCTAAAAAAAAAATCTCTCTCTCTTTCTTGTATCTCTTCATATTTATAGTACAAAAATTGGAATTTTAACTTTTATATTAAAGTAGTGAAATGAACAAAATCATTTTATAATTATCAGATAAATATTGATCATTTGGAATTCTCAAACTGAGGATGGGTATGAATAATAAATTTAAAATAGTGTTTATATGTGAAATGGTAGTTAAGTTTAGTATTAATGTTAGCAAAAACACGCTAGAGTTTTGGAAGTAATCGTGTCAAACACTTGTAATTAGGTTTGGTGTCCGAGCATGAGACTCGCGTGTCTGACCATCGTTATTCATTCCCACAACTGCTTAATTAATGTTGAAAATGAGATGTTGGTTTTCTAGTGGATCTCTTATTTTTCAAATCAGAATCATAGAATAAGAAAAACGCATTGAATCAAGATGCACATGTCTGCATGATTTACATGAAGCTTGAATGAGACAATGATCTAAAAGCCACAATATGTAATGATAATTATAATCCATTCAAAATAAATAAATGGATCCCATAAATGTTCACTGATTAATTGACACATGGGGTGGGGTGGATGTACAAATTCACGCTACATTTCCCAACCTGATCATCTTTGGCTTCTTTGGGTGGGCAATTCCCTTGGTGGACGTATTCGCTGGATCTCCAATTCCAGGGTGACATAGGCTACAGAAGCACTGACCGAAATCACTTGCTGCACTCTATCCACCGACCCCTAAACATGGGTAATCACGTGGAAATCCAGGGGACGGGTTGTGGTCATACCGAAGGGAGCCTATTTGGCTTTCTAGTTCTTTTTGAACGAAAACTTGTACAGTGTAGGAATTCGACCTTTGATTAATGCAGGCTCACTAGGCTCCAAAAACAATGAAAACCGTGCGTCTGACTGGGGGGTTTCATTGCCGAAAAATACTGTTCCAAAATGGAAATTGAAAGTCAAGTAAACAAATTAGAAGATAGACAAAAACCCCACTTGATTTCCAAAAGGAGCGATTGACCAATTTTCTCAGAAAAATTTCGAGATTTACCAATTTTTTCAGCTAGGAATTGTTGTGGGCCAAACGATGAAAGTGCCGTGGAAGTTTAGAAAAGTTGAAGAAATTTGAAGCAGACAATTTCACCTAGTTACGGAATAATAGGCCTCTCTCCTACTCCTAGCTCAGCAATGATGGAATCAAGGGAGTACACATTGACCTTTTTTTATTTAAAATTTTCATGGCATAAGTGCTCTTATTTGTTTTTTTAAAGGCATTTGAAATGATTTCCTTGCTTTAAATATGTATGAAAAAACTCCCCCTGTGGTAGTACTCCAGCCCCGTTGATCTAGGACATGTTCTACACATGATTTGAGCTGTGTACAAATCAACAAATTCAGATAGGACAAGTAAAAGCCATTTCCCCAGTGTTACAATTGTTCCAAGGCACAAAGCCAGCATATCATTCAAGCAATAATCTCACGGAAAAGCAGAGTAACCTTGCATTCCCTCCAACAGGAAGGGCAGTCAGCCCCATCCCAAACCATACTCCATCAACATCAGAAAAAAAGCATGTCAGGTTGCATACGGTATGAAGCTGCCAACTGGTCAAAGTCATCCCATCACAACCTTATCATTCCTCTCCTCCCAACCCATGTTCAAAGTGCTCTTCATCTTTAGTTGTTGAGATAGAATTTTTCACATGTCCACCTTCAAATCGGAAGAATCCATTCTTTGTTTCTTTTGTTTTTTTTTTTTTTT